AGCAGATGCTTTTATCCAAAGCGACATACAGTCATGCGTGCATACATTCTTTTTTTTGTGTGTGTATGTATTGCACTGACACAAATGACTGATGATTGGTTGGAAGAAATTGATAATAAGAAGATTGTGGGAGCTGTACTGTTAGATTTCAGTGCAGCCTTTGATATTATTGACCATAACCTGTTGTTAAAAAAACGTGTGTTATGGCTTTTCAACCTCTGCCATGTCGTGGATTCAGAGCTATCGACCTAATATAACTTTTTCTTTCTTCGTTTTATGTTTTTTATTGAAGCTTCTCTAATGTCAAACATGTAAGGTGTGGTGTACCGCAGCACAGCTCTCTAGCCCCTCTACTCTTTTCTATTTTTACCAATGACCTGCCACTGGCATTAAACAAAGCATGTTGTGTCCATGTATGCAGATGATTCAAACATATACAGTGGCTTGCGAAAGTATTCACCCCCCTTGGCATTTTTCCGATTTTGTTGCCTTACAACCTGGAATTTAAATGGATTTTTGGGGGTTTGTATCATTTGATTTACACAACATGCCTACCACTTTGAAGATGCAATATATTTTTTGGGTGAAACAAACAAGAAATAAGACAACAAAACAGAACTTGAGCGTGCATAACTATTCACCCCCCCCCCCAAAGTCAACACTTTGTAGAGCCACCTTCTGCAGCAATTACAGCTGCAAGTCTCTTTGGGTATGTCTCTATAAGCTTAGCACATCTAGCCACTGGGATCTTTGCACATTCTTCGAGGCAAAACTGCTCCAGCTCCTTCAAGTTGGAGTACCTTCTTCCATATGTTTGGAGAGCCTCCCACATGTCTTTTGGTGAACACCAAACGTGTTTGCTTATTTTTGTCTTTAAGCAATGGCTTTTTTCTGGCCACTCTTCCGTAAAGCCCAGCTCTGTGGAATGTACGGCTTAAAGTGGTCCTATGGACAGATACTCCAATCTCCGCTGTGGAGCTTTGCAGCTCCTTCAGGGTTATCTTTGGTCTCTTTGTTGCCTCTCTGATTATTGTCCTCCTTGCCTGGTCCGTGAGTTTTGCGGGTGGCCCTCTCTTGGCAGGTTTGTTGTGGTGCCATATTCTTTCCATTTTTTAAATAATGGATTTAATGGTGCTCCATGGGATGTTCAAAGTTTCTGATATTTTTTTATAACCCAACACTGATCTGCACTTCTCCACAACTTTGTCCCTGACCTGTATGGAGAGCTCCTTTGTCTTCATGGTGCTGCTTGCTTGGTGGTGCCCCTTGCTTAGGGGTGTTGCAGACTCTGGGGCCTTTCAGAACAGGTGTATATATACTGAGATCATGTGACACTTAGATTACACACAGGTGGACTTTATTTAACTAATTATGTGACATCTGAAGGTAATTGGTTGCACCAGATCTTATTTAGGGGCTTCATAGCAAAGGGGGTGAATACATATGCATGCACCACTTTTCCGTTATTTATTTTCTCAAATTTTTTGAAACAAGTAATTTTTTTCATTTCACTTCACCAATTTGGACTATTATGTGTATGTCCATTGCATGAAATCCAAATAAAGATCAATTTAAATTACAGGTTGTAATGCAACAAAATAGGAAAAATGCCAAGGGGGATGAATAATTTTGCAAGGCACTGTACACATCAACAACCACAGCTAATGAAGTCACTGAAACCCTTAACAAAGAGTTGTAGTCTATTTTGGAATGGGTGGCCAGTAATAAACTGGTCCTGAACATCTATAAAACTAAGAGAATTGTATTTGGTACAAATCATTCCCTAAATTCTAGACCTCAGCTGAATCTGGTAATGAATGGTGTGGCTGTTGATCAAGTTGAGGATACTAAATTACTTGGCGTTACCCTAGATTGTAAACTGTCATGGTCAAAACATATAGATTCAATGGTTGTACAGATGGGGAGAGGTCTGTCCGTAATAAAAAGATGCTCTGCTTTTTTGACACCACACTCCAAAAAGCAAGTCCTGCAGGCTCTAGTTTTGTCTTATCTTGATTATTGTCCAGTCGTGTGGTCGAGTGCTGCAAGGAAAGACCAAGTTAAGCTGCAGCTGGCCCAGAACAGAGCGGCACGTCTTGCTCTTCATTGTAATCAGAGGGCTGATATAAATACTATGCATACCAGTCTCTCTTGGCTAAGAATTGAGGAGAGACTGACTGCATCACTTCTTATTTTTATAAGAAACATTGGATCCTAATAAAATATCAAATCCCAAAAACAATTTTCTGTTGGCCAAATTCGACACTCTCATTGACCTCCATACAAAAACTCCTTGCTTGGTGGGTGAAACAACAAAAAAACACCACCTGCTGGAGGGAGAAAGATTTTCCGCCGAGTGGGCCTCTCTTCCGCTTCCTCTCCCATGTTTCATGAGCTGAAATAAAAGATCCCAGAAATGTTCCATACACACAAAAAGCTTATATGTGCACATTTGTTTACATCCCTGTTAGTGAGCATTTTTCCTTTGCCAAGATAATCCATCCACCTGACAGGTGTGGCATCTCAAGAAGCTGATTAAACAGCATGATCATTACACAGGTGCACCTTGTGCTGGGGACGAGAAAAGGACACTGTAAAATGTCTTTAAGAAATTGCTTTTTTCTGGTCACTCTTCCATAAAGCCCAGCTCTGTGTAGTGTACGGCTTAAAGTGGTCCTATGGACAGACACTCCAATCTCCGCTGTGGGAGAGCAGTTTGCTGATGATAACGTTGTGAACAGAGTGCCCCATAGGGGCGGTGGGGTTATGGTATGGGCAGGCATAAGCTACGGACAATGAATACAATTGCATTTTATCGATGGCAATTTGAATGCACAGAAATACCGTGACAAAATCCTGAGGCCCATTCTTTTTAAAGGTATCTGTGACCAAGGCCTGCAGTGTGAACAAGGCTTAAATGTACAGGTAATCCACATAATTTGGTTACATTAATTAATGTTCATGAATCTATTAATTACAGTCATTTAACGTTCTCATTCTCGGGGTGGAAAGTAGTTTGCAGTGTTCACAACCTGCTACACATGTGAGAAACAAGTTGTGGTTTATTTCACAACCATCATTTACAAATGTTGTAATTTTTTTAATTGTATTTTGTTTCGAGTGCTCCATGTGAGCAATGAGCATGTCTGGTTTCTCTGTCCTGTTAATGTTGAGGGAGCGCACGAGAAGCAGGGCTGCTGCCCGCAGGCCTCCTACATTTTTTGTCTTGCCCATTCAACCTCTGAATGGCACACATACACAATCCGTCTCAATTGTATCAAGGCTTAAACATCCTTCTTTAACCTGTCTCCTCCCCTTCATCTACACTGATTGAAGTGGATTTAACAAGTGACATCAATAAGGAATCATAGCTTTCACCTGGTCATGAAGAGGGCAGGTGTTCTTAATGTTTTGTATACTCTTTATCTTTACATGTTATCAGACTTGCTACAACTGAAGTTTCCTCTGTAAAAATTTAAGTTCTATTCCACTCTAATTAAAGAGTGGTGAAGTTGTTTGGCGAAAAAGTATTAATGAATCAGTTATGCATACTTATAACTACTAATGTGTCTGCTCTGCTTACACCAAATATATTGTGTATACAGAAGGCTTCAAAACCAAAAGATGTCAGACATAGGTGTTTTTTATCAAAGACAACCCATTTTGCTCATGGCAGTTATAGACTAGGTGTTCTTTTTTTACATTAGTGTTTACACATAATAGGGCATTTTGACTGGAGCAGGTCAGGTGTAATTGTCATGTCAAAACTCTACCTATCATGTACTGAAAAGGCTCTGCAGGTAGGAAAAAAATCAGAAAGCCAAGGAAAAGGACAGATCAAATTTTTTTGAAGATTCAATAATTTATTAATTCAGAATAATTTAATGCATTGCAAATAGCAACATTTATTTTCCCCATATCTACCTGAGCAGCTTGACCAGTCTTAAACGGTATCCACCTAAGCATCATAGCAATAGATTTTTCCTACCTCAAATCTTCAAAACACACTAACAAAGCTTTGTTTTCCCGCCAACAGACACCATGCTCCATTGGATTGTTGCAGTGAATTTAAGGCATTCAAAGAATTCCAGACAGAATCCACAGTATGTCGTGTCAAAATGTAAACTTTCATTCCATGTAAAATGACTTGTTGAACAATGGCTGATATCATTTTTATCCATTTAAACTATTGTTCAAAATATGCATGTTGTAAACCTCCAGAATGTATGAAATCATCTATAAATGAAATGAATTACTGACTAAAATCATGCCCATTTGAAGTCAGCTAATTTGATTGGCAATCTTTTGTGCATTTAACAGTTGGAGATCAGCCATGTAAAAAGCTAGCTGGATTCTTTATATTGCCTTAGTCCTTGAATGGACTACCGTAACTCAAAAACCAGCATTCAGAGTCCATTTGAAATTCTTGTTAAGATTCAAGTAAAAAAAAACAAAAAAAAACATACAAAATGGAAACTTCACATTCATTGTAGAGCTAAGACAAAAGTGTTAAAAAATATTATACTGGCAATGACCACTGTGGTTAACCCAGCATGAAAGTGACCAGATGCTGGATATACACTGAAGAAATACCCTTTGAAATGTAAACTTTGGCTTAAGTCTTAAAGCACCAGCTTGAAATGTTAGTATTTGGCCCAAGCACAGTAGTGAAATCAACTACATGAGAGGGGGATGAATCCAGACAAAATTCACAACCTTTTCCACCAAACAAACCTTCAGCAGCCAGAGCGTGCTGAAGGCAGGCTGACTGCAATTCTGCCAGATCCAAATCTAACCACTGCCGTCTAACCCAAGATGCTCCCTGGCACTCAAAACTAACAATGACCTACTGCTCCAAGCCACCAATCTCTCAAAACGTCAAGTAATACCACACCAAACTTATCACAAAACAGTTTGTCAATGGGAGGAACTGCTTATTTTAGCTTGGTGTTCTGCAACCATTTATTTAGGCTTGGAGGAGGAATGTTGGGAGAGTTCATTCAGGATCCTGGGGTGGCTGCTGGGGGGCTCCCCCCCATTATCGGACCGTGGAAGGAGTCTGGAACGCGTTTGGCGTACTCTACGAGCTGGTAGGACTCCCTGATGTCTGAGAGGCCGAACCAAAAGACAATCCAGCCGCCGTTGACGAAGCTTCCGTCGCAATGCTTGAAGTACCTGAGGATAGGTGGAGAAAGGAAGTAAAGAAAAATATTCAAAAAAAGAGAGACAACCCTGTACACAGCAGTGCGTCTAGATCCAGGGCTGGTTAAGGCAGGGAAAACTAGTATCCAAAACAACCACACACCCTAGAAAGACAGGCGGCAGACCTTTACTTTTATTTTTCATTCGCAGTAAAACAACAAAAGAGATGCATGGTATTTGTTTGTAGTGAAAAAAAATTAGTTACATAAATTGCCCCGCAGAATTGTGAAGAAAATCTTCTAGATACTCTCGACTTGACTTGAGAAAGATGCATGGCATCTGATACTTCAGCCATTATGTTGGGCCAAAACAGCCATAAGTCATGTTTCTTGTGTCAATTGTGCAGTGTCATGTTCTTCTCACCAGGGGTTGATGCGGTTGATGGCGCGGGACCTCCAGAAGAGCTTGCCCAGGTCCTGTCTGATGCACTCCCACAGGATCTGGCTGGTGCCCTCGCCCTGCTTGCTGCTGCTCACCACAAACTTGTCCAGGTAGGGCGTACCACTGCTCACAGGCTCCCTGGTGATGATGGCTGCCGCACTGTACCTGCAGGTGATACAGCATTCCATGTTCCATGTTGTGGTTTGTTTGAGACACAGGCTAGGTTCCCATTCTCTACCTACCCTTCTCCACTAGTATGAACAAGAAAAGCATTGGGTTGGTGCAAGCATGGCTGGAGAGAGTTTCCTTCCACCACCATATTCCTCACAACAGTCTTTTTCTTATCTATGAGAGCGGATTGTACGAGTTTACACTTCGGGAGAAGGGTAGAGAATGGAAAAAAGGATGCCACACAGGAAGATGTGTGTGTGTGTTAGGCTACCCTTCAGAGAGGTAGATAGAATGGAGGCGTCCTTTGAGTGACTCAATGTAATCCTCCCTCAGGTTCTTCTCAAACGACTTGTTTATCAGGGCCAGTAGGCGGTCTAGGTCTATGTCATCCAGAGTGCTGTACCTGGCCAAACAAAAGGATAGAGAGACAGTAGTTGATTATCTTTGCATCTCTTTTAATAGAGACACCCGACAAGCTCAGCTTTTTCAACTACCTATGACAACACCCTTGGGATGACAGGCACACAATCACCTGTCTCAAAGTAAGTAAATTCAGGACAATGGGAAAAGTGACTTTTTCCAATTCTAATTGTACACATGCAGTGCACAAAAGACTCAAGTGTCAGAATTTATCTTATCAAAAACTATAAATCTGTAGTTGATTTTGATGTTTTCTTCCTGCGCAAGTTGTTACGTGTGACATGTTTTTCTTTCTCCCAATTGTCCTTTGTAGTGTGTGTTTGGTTCAGAGTGGTTGTTCTGTTTGTGTGTTCTGGTTATTACAGGTGTGCTGAGTTGCGGACTGACGATGGTGGGCGTGGCTTCGGTCCGGAGTCCTGGCAGCTTTGGTTGAGTGACTGATTGACTAGAGCATATAAACTGTTTGTCGTGTGAGCTAGAGAGAGAGGGCACTTTTTGTTTGGCTGTTTGAGGATTTGGTTGTTTTGATGTATCTTTGTTTGTGTTTTAGCCTGTCCTCCTGCTGTACTCCACCCTACCTGGGTCCTGGAGAAGGGAAAGGTAGTTCTGCCCATGGGTGTACATTCACACGTAGATAACCCACTGTTTTACACACTAGGTTAGCCGGGCGGGTGTCACCCCTGTATTTGTGGTAACAGGTAGGAAAGCGGGTTAGGGCTTAGTGTGTTAGGAAGGATTAGGTGTGTAGAAGAGGAGGGATTTATTTTTTTATATATTTACATTTTAGTCATTTAGGGACCTTTTGTTTATTTTCATTACTTGGACCCCGTTCCCAAACATTCCCTTCTCTTACCTTCCCTGGTTTGTTTGATTGGTCTTTGGTTTATTACTGTTTCTTTATGGGTGTTGTATATGTTGTTCAGTACTTTACTAAACATCTCCAGAGGGCTAACATTGAGTTCTGGTTGTTGTGTCCCATTATTTTAGTTAGTTACACCCCACAGTTCTTCACCATCCATCTAGTTTACATTGTGTGCGCAGGCACGGGCATTTACATCTCCTCCTCAGACGAACTACACCCGAGGGGAGAATGTAACATGGGGGGCTGGTCAGGGATCTTTGATCCAGCTTGTGCCCGCACACTTTGGTAGTAGATGTGGATTGTGTGGTTGTTTTGTTGGGTGTAGTGTTTAGTTCTGTGTTGGATGTTGTAGTTAGGTGGTGGATTTAGAAAATGGCCACCTTTTTAACCTGAAGTTTTTTCTGGATAACCCTACGTGGGAGGGTTTTGAGAATTGTAGGAGAGTGGATTTAGAGACTTTGGCAGACCATTTAGATATCTCCGTGCCAAGGGGTTTTGTTAAGGCGGAGGTAAGGGCATTGGTGTTAGCGGCGCTGATTGAACAGCAAGTGTTGGTTTTGCCTCTGCCTGCAGTGGGAGAGGTGGTGGATGCTCCGGGTGCCCCGTATAGGCCCGACGATGAGGTCGAGTATAAGGCCCCGGCCACCTTGCCTCGATTTGACCCTCTCTCCTATTCCTACGGCTGTACACTTGCAGCTGGAGGCAGAAGAGAGAGCACAAATCCGAAAGGATGAGCTACATCTCAAGTTGGAGACGTGCCGACTGGAGTTGGAAGCAGATATTAAGATAAGGCAGATGGACTTCGAAATGCGCAAATTGGAATTAGAGGCAGAGACGGCGAGGCTGGCCGCTGTCCCTGCCATTTCCAATAGTGTGTTTTCCACCCCAGGATCTGCCTCTACCTTTGACATTAGCCGGCATATTGCTTTAGTTCCACAATTCTGTGAGTCTGAGGTTGACTCTTACTTTTGTGCATTCGAACGCATAGCAGTGGCTTTGAATTGGCCTAGGGATGTGTGGCCGCTGTTACTTCAGTGTAAAGCGCAGGAGGTGATGGGTACTCTCTCTCTCGCTGATGGTCTTAATTACGACATTGTTAAGGCTACTGTGCTCCGTGGGTATGAGCTTGTGCCGGAGGCTTATAGATACAAGTTTAGAAAGCACTCCAAATCCTCTATAAAAACTTTTGTCGAATTCGCTAGAGAGAAGGAGTCTCTCTTTGACAAATGGTGCTCAGCGAGTAAAATCAATGACTTTGAAGGTCTTCGTGAATTAATGTTATTGGAAGAATTTAAAAACAGCCTCCCAGAGTGGTTGGTTGTATACATTAATGAACAGAAAGTGTTAAAGTTATCTGAAGCCGCGGTGCTTGCAGATGAATTTGTGTTTACACATAAAACAGTGTTTCCCACACACCGTAGTGAGAATAGACCGGTTGTATCCTCTCCTGTCTACAATTCCCACAGTTACTCAGGAAGTACACGGCTGACTCTAAAGGAGGAACGTGCGTGTTTTTATTGTCATAAAGTCGGACACGTAATTTCGGAATGTATGTCTTTAAAACGCAAGTCACCACCTTCAACCCCTAAACCCCATAAAAGTGTGGGTTTGATTAAGGTAACCACTAAGAGCTCTGTAAAGGAGAGTCCTGGGGTTGTACTAAGTCGTCCCGATCCAACCTACGACCCGTTCATATTTAAAGGCTTTGTTTCACTGACAGGTGATTCTGGAGAACAAAAGCCAGTTTTGATATTGAGAGATACTGGTGCGGCTCAGTCTGTAATTCTCTCGAGTGTTCTGCCCTGGTCAGAGGAGTCTTATTGTGGCTCTAGTGTATTATTAAGGGGGATCGAAATGCGTTGTGTGCCTGTTCCGTTACATACTGTCCATTTGACTTCTGATCTAGTGAGTGGATGTTTCAGAATCGGTGTACAGTCCGAGCTTCCCGTAAATGGGGTTGCTCTAATCATGGGTAACGATCTAGCAGGAGGCAAAGTTGTGCCTGTGTTAGAAGTGCTAGACAAGCCTGATGCTCAGTCAAGTGCTGATGTTTTGGCCACTATGTTTCCTGAAGCATTTCCAGCGTGTGCCATTACACGTGCGCAGTCGCGTCGCTTAGGTACCATGGTAGACTTAGCTGACTCTGTGCTTGCACCTATGTTGAATGGGGAAGATATCCAGTGTTCTACTCCTGTGTTCCCAGTGAGTTCTGATTATGATGATGGTAATAAAGACAAGACAATGGCTTCCTCGGTGGACTGTTTAAGGTTGCCAGTTACTCGGGAGAAGCTAATAGCTGCCCAGAAAGAGGATGTGGGCTTAGCCAAATGTTTTTCGTCCATGTTACCTTTGAGTGAGGCAAAAAGGAAAGGTGTGACGTATTTCCTTGAGAAGGGTCTTTTGATTAGAAAATGGACTCCCCGTGCTGACCTAGAAAATGATTGGAGTTCCGTTTTCCAGATTGTAGTTCCTGCCACGTTTCAGACGAAGGTGTTGTCCCTAGCTCATGATATTCCCTGGTCTGGTCATCTAGGAGTGACTAAAACCTACGATCGAATCCTCCGTCATTTCTTCTGGCCGGGAATGAAACGGGATGTGGCTTGTTATTGCCGTACATGTAGTATGTGCGAAGTGGTGGGGAAGCCTAACCAGGTAATTTCCCCGGCTCCTCTCTGCCCGATTCCGGTCATGGGAGAGCCGTTTGAGAAAGTAATAATCGATTGTGTTGGTCCATTACCCAGGACTAAGTCGGGTAATCAATTCTTGTTAACGATAATGTGCACTGCTACAAGGTACCCAGAGGCGATTCTTATGTGTAAAATCACCAGTAAGGCAATTGTGAAGGCGCTGATTAAGTATTTCTCTACCTTTTTGGATTTCTAAAAATCGTACAGACGGATCAAGGCACTAATTTTACATCGAGATTGTTTGGAAGTGTGTTGAAGTCCTTGTCAGTGTCCCATCAGATGTCTAGCGCTTACCACCCGGAGAGTCAGGGTGCGCTGGAACGTTGGCATCAGACGCTAAAAGCCATGTTGCGTAAATACTGTATGGACACAGAAAAAGAGTGGGATGAGGGGATGCCGTACAAGAGTCTCTTGGGTTTAGCCCACCTGAGCTAATCTTTGGTCACACAGTGAGAGGGCCTCTAAAGGTACTGAAATAACAAATTATGGCTGATGATTCAGTTGGGTCCTCTACTAATGTACTAGACTTTGTTAGTCAAGTCCGGGAGCGGTTGCATGACGCATGTGCTGTAGCCAGAGAAAATCTGTCTTCCACACAAAAGAAAATGAAACGTCACTTTGATGTAAAAACTGTGTCTCGTTCTTTTCAACCAAGTGACCAAGTCTTGGTGTTGTTGCCAGTACCTGGCTCGTGTCTCTCTTCCAGTTTCTCTGGCCCATATGTGGTGGAGCAAAAACTCAGTGATACTGATTATGTTATCAAAACGCCAGACCATAGACGCCCATTTCGGTTATGTCACGTTAACATGATTAAAGCTTATCATGTTAGAGTTGGTATCAAATCCCCCATTACCAGTAAACCTCCTGTGGTATTCTCTGTTGCTTCTGTGAGCATGGTTACCCACCCAGGAGTCAGCGTAAATGATGAGGACGGTTTGGTGATGCGAAATACTCCTGAGCAGTGTGCTCGTTTATGTAATTCGGAGATGGTAGCGTCTCTCCAATCCCATTTGTTGCATTTGAATGATCAGCAGAGGGCTGATATTGAATTACTAATCACTGATTTTCCGAGTCTCTTTAAGGATGTTCCCAGTCGTACATGTGTTGCAACATGATATACATTTTTACATTTTAGTCATTTAGCAGACGCTCTTATCCAGAGCGACTTAGTGAGTGAATACATTTTTTTCATACTGTAATGTAGGTGATGCTGCTCCAATCAAACAGCACCCTTACCGTGTGAATTCAATCAAGAGGGTAATGATGAAGAAAGAGGTAACTTCTTTAGTGGAAAATGAGATGCCAATCCCCAGTGGCAGTCCTTGGAGTTCCCCCTGTCTGCTGATTCCAAAGCCTGACGGGACTCAAAGGTTTTGCACTGACTATAGAAAAGTGAATAATGTTACCATACCTGACTCATTCCCTTTACCTCGCATGGAACGACTGTATAGACACCATTGGATCGGCTGCGTATGTTACTAAGCTTGACTTGTTAAAAGGTTATTGGCAGGTGCCTTTAACCCCTCGTGCCTCTGAGGTGTCTGCTTTTGTAACCTCTGACCGTTTCTGCCAGTACACAGTAATGGCTTTTGGAATGAGGAACGCCACGTTTCAACGTTTGATAAATATTGTATTGGCTGATGTTCCTGATTGTACCACATATCTCGATGACCTGGTTGTTCATTCGACAACCTGGCTTGATCACATGAGCACATTGAGGGCTGTGTTTGCACGCTTGGCCAGCGCTTCTTTGACACTTAGCCAAATGTGAGTTTGGAAAGGCTACTGTTACATATTTGGATAAAGAGGTGGGGCGGGGTCAGGTTCAGGTTCGTACAGTAACAGCTAAGGTGGACGCTATCACCCGGTTTCCTGGCCCTGCCACTCGGCGGGAATTACGCAGATTCTTAGGCATGACGGGTTATTATCGTACATTTTGTAGGAATTTCTCAACTGTTGTAGCCCCAATGACAAGGTTACTCAGTCCTTCAGTGTCCTTTGAGTGGACCGCTGAGTGTCAATCTGCCTTTGACTCTGTAAAAGCACTATTGTGTATTTCTCCTGTTCTTTCCTGCCCCCGATTTCCAGAAACCATTTAAGTTGGAAGTGGATGCCAGTTCAGTGGGTGCAGGTGCTGTACTATTACAGGAACACGATGGTCTAGATCACCCAGTTTGTTACTTCTCTCGCAAATTCAACAGCTGTCAGTCACGTTATTCCACTATCGAACAGGAGACTGGTGCTGTTGTTTGCCTTACAATTTTGAGGTTTATGTTGGCTCCATTGTGTTGCCTGTTGTGGTGTATACAGACCACAACCCTTTCATTTTTTTAAGCTGCATGTACAGCCACAACCAAAGTCTTGTGCGTTGGGCGTTGGTTATACAGGGTTATAATTTAGAAATTCATCATATAAAGGGTGCAGAAAACGTGGTTGCGGATGCTCTGTCACATGCCTAGTTCAGAGAAAAAAAGAGAAAATAATAGAGGAGGGGGGGGGGGGGGGGGGGTTGACAACTATGGGGGGGATGTGTTGGAAGTAAGTACTTGGTATTATAAAAAAATATGTATATAAAGATAAAGGCCTCCTGTAGCTCAGTTGGTAAAGCATGGCGCTTGCAACGCCAGGGTTGTGGGTTCGATTCCCACGGGGGGCCAGTATGAAAAATGTATGCACTCACTGGGTGCAGGTGCTGTACTATTACAGGAACACGATGGTCTAGATCACCCCGTTTGTTACTTCTCTCGCAAATAAGTCGCTCTGGATAAGAGCGTCTGCTAAATGACTAAAAATGTAATGTTCTTATCATAAACCCCTGGGTTTACTCTTTTTTTTGGGGGGGGCGTGTTACGTGTGACATGTTTTTCTTTCTCCCAATCGTCCTTTGTAGTGTGTGTTTGGTTCAGAGTGGTTGTTCGGTTTGTGTGTTCTGGTTATTACAGGTGTGCTGAGTTGCGGCTGACGATGGTGGGCGTGGCTTCGGTCCGGAGTCCTGGCAGCTGTGGTTGAGTGACTGATTGACTAGAGCGTATAAACTGTTTGTCGTGTGAGCTAGAGAGAGAGGGCACTTTTTGTTTGGCTGTTTGAGGATTTGGTTATTGTTTGTTTTGATGTATCTTTGTTTGTGTTTCAGCCTGTCCTCCTGCTGTATTCCACCCTACCTGGGTCCTGGAGAAGGGAAAGGTAGTTCTGCCCATGGGTGTACATTCACACGTAGATAACCCACTGTTTTATACACTAGGTTAGCCGGGCGGGTGTCACCCCTGTATTTGTGGTAACAGGTAGGAAAGCGGGTTAGGGCTTAGTGTGTTAGGAAGGATTAGGTGTTACATTTTAGTCATTTAGGGACCTTTTGTTCATTTTCATTACTTGGACCCCGTTCCCAAACATTCCCTTCTCTTACCTTCCCTGGTTTGTTTGATTTATTACTGTTTCTTTATGGGTGTTGTATATGTTGTTCAGTACTTTACTAAACGTCTCCAGAGGGCTAACATTGAGTTCTGGTTGTTGTGTCCCATTATTTTAGTTAGTTACACCCCACATTTCTTCCCCATCCATCTAGTTTACATTGTGTGCGCAGGCACGGGCATTTACATCTCCTCCTCAGACGAACTACACCCGAGGGGAGAACGTAACAGTCTTAACTTGCTAATTCTACATCTAGTTAAGGAGTTGTGGTTGTAGGATCAGTATTTATGAAGTTCCAAATGTGCATGAAAATTAAATGGCTAGCGAGCCACAACAGTGCCAGCTATCCGAGTCAGTGAAGGCCATGTCATTGTTTTACGTCAGATAGCACGACGGCCATCTACACTGACGAGAGAAATATATACATTACAAATTGTACGACTTTTACTCCTAAAAGTTTATTTTTCATTCCGTATTATTATTATTGGGCTTGTCATGAGGGAGTACTTTGTGCACAGCCTGTGTGCGATTTAGAAGTGGAAAATATGATGTGTAAACAGACACTCATCTCCCTAGACGTATTGTTCCAGAGCTATCACTGTGGCAAGTGAAATTATTGTTAGGGGGTGATACAAAAGGTTTAATGAGGAAACTAAGCGATATAATGTTAGAAATAAATGGCATGAGCAAGTAGCCTAACTGTTCCTACATTTCACAAAACTCTTACACTGATGTCAATGGAAGATTTTTCGCAATTGTCAGGTTAAACACGCATGTCTCAAGTAGGACGCTCCGCTCACAGTTAACACATCCAAGTTGAAGGCCAAATTGCAAGCTAACAGAGAAGAGAGACTAATATACTCACTTGTGAATGGGGTCTCCATTCTTGAACAGGGTACCAGAACCTATGAAAACATAAGATGTGAAAATGAACAATTGGGTACACAAAGCATGTCAAATCAGCAAGCACACATACAAGGTGAACTGGCTTGAAATGCGAATTAACCATGGATTGTTGAGGCCTCTGTCATTTCCTTGTTTCAGTTGAGTGTACGCTATGGGATAAATCTAACCGCTTATAAAGGATCACCTGTAGTGTAGACTTTGCATGCAGTGACTCACATTACATCTCTGTGTTATATGATAAAGAAATGGAGCCAGCTGCAGGTCAATGAGTGCATCTTTAAAACCTCTGCTGTGCTAAGGGCACGTCTCAAAATACACATCCTAGGACCTTAACATGACCCTGGATTGGATTTCAGGTGTCACAGATACACACAGATGCCATGCACAACATGAGCTGCATGCATGGACATTCAGTCTACTACAGTGGAGGCTGCTGAGGGGAGGAATGGCATCAAACTATGTGTTTGACGTATTTGATACTATTCCACTGATTCCGACTCTAGCCATTACCGCTAGCCCATCCTCCCCAATGAAGGTGCCACCAACCTCCTGTGGTCTACTACACCTCGAGGGCCACAGTGACTGCTGGTGTCTGTTCTTTCCTTCAATTCAGCGAGTGATTAAGAACTGGGACACCAGGGGCCGTATGTATGAAGCGTCTCGGAGCATAATGAATACGATTATATGGACAGGGAGACCCTGATCCTAGATCAGCACTCCTACTCTGAGATGCTTGATACTTAAGGCCCCTGGGAGATAAAAGTGAACCAGCAGAAAGGGAGCGAGCAGACACTTTGGCTCCAGAGGACTGAAATTGCATAATGCCTATGTCTGCCTTAAGGGGCCCCAAACTCTGCTTAGCAACATGAGAGGTGAGCCCCACGTGCTATCAACAGCAGCAGTGACAGGTGCAGAGAGTGAGTGAGTGAGTAGAGAGCATAGGTCAGACATAGGGGTTAGTCGGTGAGGGGTCACACACACATACAGGTCTCCCTCACCCTTGTGGCTGAACAGCTCGGTGAGCAGCGTGTTGGCGGAGGTGATAACTGCAGAGGACTCGCAGGGCAGCTGGTTCAGGAGCTGGGCGATGGTGCCCACCCTCCGACGCTCGGCCAAGCTCAGCCATGGTGCCCCCGACAGGCCGGGAAGATCACCGGGCAGAGACACTAAATCCAGCACCTGAGATGTGGAGAGGAGAGTGGGACAGAAACAGAGGGGGGGGGGGTTTTGATTTAATAAAATGTGAACAAGCTTGACAAGGAAGTAAATGAAAGCAACAAAACAACATAAGGGTTCAAAACAAATTATACTTGTGATATACAGGTAACTGGCAAAATAAAGGTAACACTTGATTAAATGAGGGTTCTGGCGGCTCTGTTATGGTGTGGGGTGCATTTTCCTGGCATGGTTTAGGTCCACTCAACCCCTTAGAGGGCAAGGTAAACACCAATAAATACACAGCCAGCCATTCTGTGTGATCACCTTCAACCTGTGGTGAAGCATTTCTATCCTGATGGGAGTGGTCTCTTCCAGGATGTCAATACCCCTGTCCACAGGGCACGAGTGGTCACTGAATGGTTTGATGAGCATGAAAACGATGTAAACCATATGCCACGGCCGTCTCAGTCACCAGATCTCAACCCATTTAAACACTTATGGGAGATTCTGTAACGGCACCTGAGACAGTGTTTTCCACCACCATCAACAAAACACCATATTATGGAATTTCTCATGGAAGAATGGTGTTGCATCCCTCCAATAGAGTTCCAGACACTTGTAGAATCAATGCCAAGGTGCATTGAAGCTGTTCTGGCGGATCGTGATGACCCAATGTCCTATTAAGACACTTTATGTTGGAGTTTCCTTTATTTTGGCAGTTACCTGTAGTTGTCCTATACTGGAGAGCAGGCAGGTGTTAGGCCTCTTCTTTGATTGGGAGTAAATAGCCTACTGCTTCTAATGTACAGGAAATGTACAGACTGCTGTGGATAAACACTATGATGGGCCTACTTTCAAAGAGCAAAGACAGCGGCGAGTTCCTTAACTACATACTGTAGGTCAAGTACTATGAATGCACGCGCATTCTAGTAATCTGCCACCCAACCCCCAAAATAACCCCATAACCCCCCACCTTGTGACTCTGGTTGCGGAGGCCTCCCCAGCTGTTGAGGAACATGACTTTGAGTGGCTGCAGGATCTTGGAGATGGCGGCCGTGACGTCCACTGAGTCCAGGGCCACCGAGCGGCCCATGGTGTCCCGCCCCACAGGGCACACCAGGGGGATGGCCCCGCAGTCCAGGCTCCACTGGAGCAGGCCTTTGTCCACTGCAATGGAGGACCCTGCACTGACAACACATAGGGCTGTTATTACTCTTTTAAAAAAACTCTAAACAAAAAAGAGATTAGTATCGTAATGCAGAGGAGGATAGGGTAACTGTGGTAGGGGAGACCTGCTTCCTTGGGGTGGATCCTGCACCAGCAGCAAGGCCTCTGCACTGAAGAACGGTATGACACTGGCTGAGTGGTGCTGTAGGACCTCTGTTAGGGTCTGGCAATGCTGAACAATATCGGCCCTGGAGTTGGAAGTAGATCCGTCTGGGGCGTCGTCATCCTCAGGCCGTGACAGTCCCATCACCACCACTGGCTTCATGTCCATCCGCTGCAGGAAAGAGAGCCCAAACGCCAGACTCTGCACCATCTCTCGGCTCTCGAATACAGATTTGTCCACCTGACATGAGGATAGATTTCAAATGACATGACGAGAGTTTCTTCTTAATTTGGATTTGGTTGGCGGATCACATCCAACTTTTAGGCGCATACACTGCCACCTACTGTACTGGTGTGTGAGGCCATTCACAGCCTACCTACATTAAATTCAGGTAATACATCATTTGGTAAAATAAAAATTAACCTGCCAACTACTACCACTCAACACCCCCTGCAACTGTTCTGCACTAAATCCTCGCAATCCCAAGTATTTCTCTCCTGCTGCCACCACAACCTCTATTTTCTGTGACTTCTGTGGGGGTAATTCTAACCAAAAGGAGAGAGACTGTATTCTTCAAAACAACTTTTTATTATAAGATTAGCAAAAATGAAGCAATCAACAACCACTCAAATGGTTCATGGTTGAAAAAGCTCAACGAACAGAGCTGGCTGTCTCCTTTTATAGAAAGTACATCCTTTTATCTTTGTGACAGTTAACAGGTGTGCAGAAACAGGCCCTGGGAACAGTAATTTAGCTAGTCTGTGTAGATCAAGATAGCTGATATCGCCACCATCCTCTGTTCCTCTCTGCACTTCCCACATAGCTAAATTCCTACCGATGGTAAACACAGGAGGTCACATACTGGGGTCGAACTCAAGCGGCTCATAAATATGTACGCTCAGATTTATGACTAAGTCACACAAGACAAGTTTGTATCAGTAAGAAACACTAGCATCAATCAATGGACAATTCTCTAAGTAAAAAACAGCATAGTATGTCTAATTAAACAGCATAGTATGTGATTAATTAATTTCCTCCACACTTCCAATCCATTTTTGCAGTACAATTGACAACCATGGCTATGAAAGCTAAGAAACTCACCTTACTGAAGCACATATTCTTCCCATCACTCTATTGGTCTCTGCCTACTCACAGAAATCCTCTCAGTATCCCTCACCCTGTACCCATATTCCTCTACCACTCTCTTCACTACTTCAGCAGACAACGTTTTCTGTAGTACTCTGACCCTGACAACCTCAACCTGCCTTTCTCTCACCAGACACCTCCGATCTACATCCCCATGGGCACCCCCACAGCTTACACACACAACTTTCTCCACTGATACTACACATTCCTCCTGCACACTTCTCACATCTAGGAATCTCCCTCCTACACACTGCTGCAACATGCCCATAAACTTAACACCTAAAACACTGTAGCATTTTCAGAACAAAAGCTCTCACGGGATAACTTACACTTCCTGACTTGACCTTGCGACGCTCTCCTCCGGATCTGCGTCGCACCAAACGGCAGGCGTCATAGACACCAGGAATCTTCAATTTCAACTGATCCTCAACACTTAATGCCACCCCGTTATCCCTCCTTTCAACGGCGGCTTGCTCCGGAGAATAAAGCAAGTCACATTTCTTGTCCCTAATCACGTGATCCAGAGCACCCGCTCCCTCTGGACTGAAAAAACACAAATAATCACTAGTCCACTCAGAGTTACTCTCACCAACTCAACAGTCCCCAACCTCTTCTCCACCCAACCTGATACCATTATCTCCACAAATCTCACTCCCACTGGACCAGAATCATCCTTTTCATCCTCGGGATGAGGCACGAACTCTGCGGTCCTCACCGCAGGTACTACATCCATACTCTCATCAGGTTCCATCTCTGGGCTACTAGAGCACGGCAACCTGCCTCACCACACCGCTTCCCTCTACACTCCACCACAATTAATCCACCCTCACTCTCTTCACGTTCACTTTCCGTCTCTAGCTCTTCCAAAGCTTCTGTGCTATCCTCCATTCCACTTTTCTCCTTATCCGCCATCTTCTCCTTCACCAGATCTTCCAGAAGACTTGCGCAATCCCCCACTCCATATTTATTCATAATATGCTCCACTTTCTTCCTTATTTATGTCTGCCATCTTCCCACGGAAGGGTTACCAAGCGTTTGCTTGTCTGCCCCCCCCACCCCAAAACCTTTCATGATGAGAGCTACTGGGCGTGCAGCAGGGCCGGGACGCTCATTAGATTAGACGGCCTCCTATGGTGGCAGATTGACGAGTGCGGCATTTACAGAGCTAAACTGACCAAGACGTACAGTTGAAATCAGAAGTTTACATACACTTTACCCAAATACATTTAAACTCTGTTTTTCACAATTCCTGACATTTAATCCTAGTAAAAATTCCCTGTTTTAGGTCAGATAGGATCACCACTTTATTTTAAGAATGTGAAATGTCAGAATAATAGTAGAGAGAATTATTTCTTTATGCTTTTATTTCTTTCATCACATTCCCAGTGGGTCAGAAGTTGATACACTCAATTAGTATTTGGTAGCATTGACTTTAAATTGTTTAACTTGGTTCAAACGTTTCGGGTAGCCGTCCACAAGCTTCCCACAATAAGTTGGGTGAATTTTGGCCCATTCCTCCTGACAGAGCTGGTGTAACTGAGTCAGGTTTGTAGGCCTCCTTGCTCACAGACACTTTTTCAGTTCTGCCCACACATTTTTTATAGGATTGAGGTCAGGGCTTTGTGATGGCCACTCCAATTCCTTGACTTTGTTGTCCTTAAGCCATTTTGCCACAACTTTGGAAGTATGCTTGGGGTCATTGTCCATTTGGAAGACCCATTTGCGACCAAGCTTTAACTTCCTGACTGATGTCTTGAAATGTTGCTTCAATATATCCACATAATTTTCCTTCCTCATGATGCCATCTATTTTGTGAAGTGCACCAGTCCCTCCTGCAGCAAGCCACCCCCGTGCTTCACGGTAGGGATGGTGTTCTTCGGCTTGCAAGCCTACCCCTTTTTCCTCCAAACATAACGATGGTCATTATGGCCAAACAGTTCTATTTTTGTTTCATCAGACCAGAGGACATTTCTCCAAAAAAATACGATCTTTGTCCCCATGTGCAGTTGCAAACCGTAGTCTGGCTTTTTTATGGCGGTTTTGGAGCAGTGAATTCTTCCTTGTTGAGCAGCCTTTCAGGTTATGTCGATATAGGACTTGTTTTACTGTGGATATAGATACTTTTGTACCTGTTTCCTCCAGCATCTTCACAAGGTCCTTTGCTGTTGTTCTGGGATTGATTTGCTCTTGTCGCACCAAAGTACGTTAATCTCTAGGAGACAGAACGCGTCTCCTTCCTGAGCGGTATGACGGCTGTGTGGTCCCATGGTGTTTATACTTGCGTACAATTGTTTGTACAGATAAACATGGTACCTTCAGGCTTTTGGAAATTGCTCCCAATGATGAACCAGCCTTGTGGAGGTCTACCATTTTCTTCTGAGGTCTTGGCTGAAAATTCTGGAATTTTCCAAGCTGTTTAAAGGCACAGTCAACTTAGTTTATGTAAACTTCTGACCCACTGGAATTGTGATACAGTGAATTATAAGTGAAATAATCTGTCTGTAAACAATTGTTGGAAAAATTACTTGTGTCATGCACAAAGTAGATGTCCTAACCGACTTGCCAAAACTATAGTTTGTTAACAAGAAATTTGTGGAGTGGTTGAAAAACAAGTTTTAATGACTCCAACCTAAGTGTATGTAAACTTACGACTTCAACTGTACCTCCAACAACACATAAAACCTCACATAATTCTGCCCCAAAACAATGACAATTTCTCTCAACTAGCGGCATATGGGCTTTTTAGGTGAGCGCTGATGCCGCCCTGTGATAAGCAGTGCCCACTTTGTCAAAGACAGGGAAGCAAAATATTTGTCTTGTCCATTCCGAGCACGCCTCTCCAGGGTGCTGTTGGAGAGATGCATTGCTGCAGCACTCCACCAACTTTCCCCCAAAAAGAAATTTCTAACACAAATCATTTAACAGATATAGCCTGTGGTAGAAAGAGCATGTGGCCTTTTCTGTAGCCTAGAGGCTGGAAATAAAATGTATGAGTTTCTCCGATCAAATAGCCTAACCTAAATGGCGCCCAATCAAATAAAAAAATGCACTGACATGTTAACAAACATATCCTAAAAACAGGACAGGTCAAAGTAAAATGGACAATATGGAATTGACAATCAGGCTACTCACAACTGCTGTCCAGGAGTTTCATCCCCTGGGCTAAATTGTCACGATCAGTGGTTTCAACTTTGTATCCGTACATTTTTTACGAGCTGATCAGAGCAAAAAATTAAATACTCCTGCATTTCCCGCTGTGTAAACACATTGCAAATAGGCTCAGGATAACTCCTCCTGATAAAGTTGGGTAGCTGATTTTGAGAGCTTAAATAGCCAAATTGATTAGTCACAGGAATCAGGACTAATAAAGCAACGGCCTCTTTTACAAAACGGTGGGCTTACCACATAGATGGGCATTCATACAATTTAATTGTGGGCCGACATTGTAGGCTATACCCCAGTAAGCACGAACCGACGCCGACATCTTTTGGACATCTTTTTTTGGTCCCGTCTGGACTGGAGGTATTTTTTTGGTGCAGTCCGGACCGGCCTTAATTTCTACGTCCACGGACGTTGGTTTTTGGTCCAGTCCGGACCAAATCTGTCCGAACCAAATCTGATTTTGTCCAGTCTGGACCAGCCTTGATTTGGCCCAAACAAAAATGTCTATAATTTACGTATTTTCAACATTCATTCAGAGCTGTAAATAGACGTGATTTCAACATCCAGAAAATACGTATTTTCAAAGTCCGAAAAATACATATTTTCACCTTTTATTCAGAACCGAAAAAGAACCTAACTTGAACGTCTAGAAAATACGTATTTTAAATGTAATTTTGCTTACTGAGACTATTCTATTCTATTCGGGGAGGCAAAAATTGTTTATTGTTGCCTAGGGAGGCAGAATGGCCAGGACCGGCCCTGGCATGCAGTCTTTTATTCCAGATATACTCGTAACAGACCTGATTCTGTAATCAAGGTCCTGATGACTGGCTGATTAGAATCAGGTGTTTAAGCAGGGCTAGAATAAGAGCCTGTACACAGTACACCCAGTAATTCTTCAGGAGGAGGGTTGGCCACGCCTGCTGTAAAAAGTGTCTGTGACTGGTGAACCCATCCCCTGGTCTTGATTTACAGTCATCTTTCACAATGTCAAGAATTAGACAAACGCTACACTCCTCCTGGCCATAAAGCTATGCAGCTACAGCGATTTTTGGTAGCGGCTATTTTTTCTAAGGTTTGTGTGTAGCACCTGAGCATTGCGCAGAACGTTAAACGGAGGAGCTCATATTTTTGCCTATAAACCACACGCTAACTATAGTTAGCTATAAAATATAATTACAATACGTAATAGGTTATCATATGAGCTATACAGCCAAGCTTGTTGGACTGATACCAGTAGCTAATTTAGCTATAAAGATTATTCTCTGACAGCTGTACACAGCGATTATTATTTCGCTTCAATCACTAGCAAACAAACAAGCTATTCCGTTTGACAGTTCATTCGTTCCCTATAAATTAGCAAATTACGCTGGCTAGCTAGCTAGCCTCTTACCTCGAGCACTGCAAATGCTGGCGCTTGTGCCAAACTGGCTCTCTGAAATTGGGTCAACCAGTACCGAGCCTCTCGAGGGTCTCCACCAATTTCATTGAGAAAAGCCTTCACATCCCGATAAATTAATGTGCGGTTTGACAGAACGTAGCGGTCAGAGGCTGAGAAAGAGTTAGGGAACTCTTGCTGGGCCAAAGCCGGGGTTTTGCCTCCCTGGCCGGCCGCCTTTGAACTCGCCAAGCGGCGCTGAAGTTTTAACATTCGCCAGTGACTTGTGCTCGGGACAAGCCGCGGTGAGGGGTTCGTCAAGTATTTGCCAGCCATTATCACGACTCTGTAACTGGAGGTACCACTATTGACTGTAGCCATGTTTGCTGGCTAATACAGGTAGTTTAATAACTAGCTAAGTAACTAAACTGCTTCTACACCTCGTGCACTCTTCTTTCCCCTCCAACACGCCTCAAAATATTACTGACAGACAGACAGGTTTCAGGCAGGCCCAGGGGGGCTTGGATTTTAACTAGCGTAGACAACCGAAGGAGGGTACTCAAAAGGCGTGGTTACTCTCGCCCGTGTGGTTGCCATGGACACCACTCAGCTTCATAAAAAGAGGGTCCATTCTATCAGTTGTATTTATGGATTATTGCAGCCAGCGCCTGTACAATCAATACAATTTAGGTAATTGCCTAGTTATTGCTTTCAGGTAAATTCAAACAATTAACCCCTACATCTACATTATTATTATTCATGTAGAACTACATTGTAGACCTTGGCCCGTATCCACAAAGTGTCTCAGAGTAGGAGTGGTGATCTAGGATCTGTCCATACAATCTTATTCATTATGAACTATAAGGCAAAACTGATCATAGATCAGCACTTCTACTCTAAGATGCTTTGTGGATACGGGCCCAGGGCTCTTGTCTCCAACAATGTTCCTGGAGAGCTACCCCTCCTGTAGGTTTTCACTCCAACTCCAGTTGTAACGGTGATTAACCGATGTAAAGTACGTTTTATATCAGACATTCACCGTTAGCCTATTTAAAAGTTGACAATTTCCATTCATCTCCTGATTACTATTTCATTAATTTATTTTGACTAAGGTGAAAGTGCAATCGCTATAAGAGCCCTTGAGTTTCCCAGTGTGGTTAATTCCACCAATTAAATTGTTTATATTTTCTATTTTAAAACAATTATAACCTTTTAACTGCAATAACCACCACCCTGTGAAGTTCATCATAGAGCCCAACCTGTTTTGAGCCCCACATTTTTAGCAAAAAAATAATATATATATATATACAGTACATTTACATTTACAGTACCAGTAAAAAGTTTGGACACACCTACTCATTCCAGGGTTTTTCTTTATTCTAAATATTTTCTACATTGTAGAATAATAGTGAAGACATCAAAACTATGAAATAACACAGATGGAATCATGTAGTAACAAAAAAAAGTGTTAAACAAATAAAAATATATTTTATATTTGAGATTCTTCAAAGTAGCCACCCTTTGCCTTGATGACAGCTTTGCACACTCCAATTTATTGCATAATTATTTTTACAGACACAAAAAGATCCCACCGTCGAATGAACAAGTTGTCTTTCTGCATTCATCAAATTGTACCGGCATATCCTGTTTCCATCAGGACAGTCGTGACTTTTTTCATGCATCAAGTAATGTATCAGCATGAAATTGTTGGATGGAAACCTGATTATAGAAACATCAAAACAAGTGCAAATTATTCTGAAAAGGTCCAGCCTACTTTTACAACCTTTGATTTGCATAAAAAGCATATAAAAATCCATTTAAATCTCTTGTTCACAATAACTTTAGCATTGATTGTCATAGAAACATCAAAACAAGTGCAAATTATTCTAAAAACATCTGGCCTACTTCTACAACCTTTGATTTGCATAAAAAGTAAAGTGTTAATTTAATGGAAATAATCAATCATATACAATTGCATTTAAATCTCTTATCTGCTATAACTTTTTTATGGATTGTCATAGAAACATCAAACTAAATCCATATTATTAAAACCAGACACTCAATGGAACTGACCCAAGGCATCACCACCATACAAGTTTCGGCCATACAAAGGGTGGTACAGAATTACCTGCCGGTGACTCTTAGCACACCATCTCACAGCCCTCTCTCAGAGACACACTCTGTAGATTGGTTGCTAGGGACCAGGTTGCCAGATGCCTTATCACACCGTGGGGTCAGCCAATCACAGGCAGTCATCTTGGGTTCCAGATCCCCAATTTTTCAGTCTTCTCCAAGCAGTTGCAGAGAGAGCATCAAGATCCTACACCTCTGCCCTGCCCAACACAACTGGAGTCATTCACATACAGTGCCTTTCACATTTTGTTGTGTTACAAAGTGGGATTGAAATAGATTTAATTGTAATAGAAATCACATAATACGTTATATAGACTCACTCTGTGTGAAATAATAGGGGTTGACATGATTTTTGAATGTCTACACCTTCCCCTGTCCCCCATACATATATCATCTGTAAGGTCGCTCAGTCAAGTACTGAATTTCAAGCACAGATTCAACTACAAAGACCAGGGAGCTTTTTGAAATTCCTCATAAAGAAGGGCAGTGATTGGTAGATGGGTAACAATAACAAATCTGACATTGAATATGTCTTTAAGCAAGGTCAACTTAATAATTATGCCACGGATGATGTATTAAACCACCCAGACACATCAAAGATACAGTCGTCCTTCTGAACTGAGCTGCAGGACAGGAAGGAAACTGCTTAGGGATTGGTGATTTTAAAATAGCTAAAGAGTTTAATGGCTGTGATAGGAGAAAACTGAAGATGGAACAACAACATAGTAGTGACTCCACAATATTGACCTAAATGACAGAGTAAAAAGAATAATACAAATATACAGAATAAAAATATTCCAAAACATGCATATGTATGCAACAAGGCACTGAAGTAATAATGAAAAAAAAACACGGGAAAGGAATACACTTTTTGGCCTAAATGCAAAGCCTTATGTTTGGGGCAAATCCAACACAACACATCACTGAGTAACTTCCTCCTTATTTTCAAGCATGGTGGTGGCTGCATCATGGTATGGGTATGCTTGCACAGGCAAAATCCTAGAGGAAAACCTGATTCATTCTGCTTTACACCAGACACTTAGAGAGGAATTGACCTTTCAGCAGGACAATCTACAACGCAAAGCCAAATCTACACTGGACTTGCTTACCAAGAAGACAGTGAATGTTCCTAAGTGGCCAAGTTACAGTTTTGACGTCAATCTGCTTGAAAATCTATGTCAAGACTTGAAAATTGCTGTCTAGTCGAAGGTGTATTGACTCAGGGGGTGACTACTTATCTAATCAAGGTATATTTGTGTTTTATTTTTAATTCATCTTAAAAATAAAAAATAATCTTCCACTTTGACATTAGAGTATTTTGTTTAGATCGTTGACCAAAAAATGACAGTTAAATCAATTTTAATCCCACTTCGTAATGCAACAAAATGTCAAAAAGGGTGTGTAGACTTGTAAAGGGTCTATAGCCACTGTAAATGCATTATTATTTATATAAAATCAAAACTTGACTTTTTATGCAAGTTAAAGGTTGTAAAAGTAGGCCCGACATTTTTAGATAATTGGCACTTGTTTTGATGTTTCTATGAGAATCTATGAAAAAGTTATTGGGAACAAGAGATTTAAATGCATTTTGATATGGTTTGATTATTTCTATCAAATCAAAACTTGACTTTTTATTCAAATCATAGGTTGTAAAAGTAGGCTGGACCTTTTTAGAATAATTTGCAGCTGTTTTGATATTTCTATGACAATCAATGATAAAAATATTGGGAACAAGAGATTTAAAATGCTTGCTGTCTTTTTTGTTGACAAATGACGTCAGAGAGGTGCAAGTGAGAAACTTGGGAGCATGGGAATGATATACGAGTTACCCACTAGTAATTACCAGTTGGAGGATTTGAAGTGGATTTTTCCCATTTATGCTGATATTTACGAAATTATGAAATTTTGTTACAGCAGCGTTATTCCCAAACAGGAGAGTAGGCTACACATTTAAATGTTAAATAAAATGCGTCAAAAAAAACTAGCCTAGTAGCCTATGTCTGCCTCATACAAAATAAAGGCTTTATTCAAACCTTATCGCGGAAATTCAGCCTTACAGTAGCTGGCGAAAGATTTCCATGCCAATATTCTAAAATTGGCATAAAGAAAATATGCACATTTTCCCACCAGTGGTATGTTTCCACCAAACGGACTTGTTGCGGATAAAATTATTTGCATGATGACATAGTGCACACAAAATGTAGATTTTCATATACCGATTAAAAATCTAAAATTCTGGTCGTGGCGAGTGCACTCTAGCCAACAGCTCGCAGATACAGTGCAGGTAGGCTATTCTTCATGATGAGATTATTATGGATAAGAGCGAGAATATTTGTATTTGTCAAATGGCAGTCAAGCATCGATCATTATGTCACCAGAATCAGACCCTCGATATTTATTGAAAAGTAGCATCAAGATCACAGTGCACTTTCACCACCCCATCATAAATTATTTAATCTGTAGCCTAATGAACTGCATGGTTTCTCGAGTTGTAGTGGGAGTTCCACACACCATATCATCTCGTGACACCAAGTTTACTTCGATATGATGGTTATTATATAAATATTTGTGCCTAAAGGCGTGTCCACTGCCATTTCTCACATAATTAATTTTAACAACACAAAAAGATCCCACCATGTCAAATGAACTGCAGGCATTTATAAAATTGTACCGAAACGTTTTTTATTGTACTGTATGACTTTACTCGCATAGAAAACTGTGGATGGAAACGTGGTTATTAGCTAGGTTTCCATCTAATTGGCGAAAGATTTTCATGCAAATATTCTAGAATCCGAATAAAGAAATTATGCGCATTTTCCCAGCAGTGTTAGGGCCTCTGTTTCCACCAAAAGGACTTGTTGTGGAAAAAAATCAGTGCGTGATGAAGTAGTGAACACAAAATGTACTTTTTCGCTTACATTTTCATGTACCAAATACAAATCTAAAGTTCAATGTGTTTCCATCGCATTTTCAACTCTACTGATAGTTGTGTAACAAAAACTGTTGCATTAAATAGCAAATGTGCCTTCTCTGGTCGTGGCACCTGTACTCTAGCCAACAGCTCGCATATAAGTACAGTGCGATATTTATTGGAAAGCAGCATCAAGCTCCTCACAATGCACTTTCACCACCCTGTAAAGTGAATCAAAACGTATTTAATCTGTAGCCTAATAACTTGCATGGTTTCCCGAGTTGTAATAGGAGGACCAAACACCATATCGTTGGGTGACACCAAATGTATTTCGATATGATGGTTATTATATCAATATTTGTGCATTAAGGCGTTTCCCCCGCCATTACCTGCATAATTAATTTTACCGACACAAAAAGATCCTACCATGTCGAACGAACAAATTATCTGTTGGCATGTCAAAAATCACACCGAAACGTCCTGTTTCCATCACAGCG